GAAAATGCAAACGTTTCGAGCGTGGTCTGAGACGAGCAATTGTTACCTTGACATCTGGAGCTGCTCTGCGACCACTTCCAAAGAGGTTGGAGTGTTGAGAATGGTCGTAGCGAGAGCTGGATAGCGTGCCAAGTTGCCGAGGATGGACAGTGCGTGCTTTAAAACCTGCTCGTGCGGAGTGCTCCGGTTGGTTGTCTGAATCAGCTGGACAATCTTTCCGATTGCTCCGCCTTCCGCGATGCGGTCGCAGCAGTATTTCGAGTGACGAGTTGCTACGTCTGCAGCAGTAGAGTTTCCAGTTGCCGAAGTCAAGAAAAGTCGAGGAAGAAAGAAAAGAGTTACCTATAGTCGCACATATGTGAAGAATGCTGCTGACAGTCTTAAAACTCAGGAGCAATGCAAGAGCCTCGTTCAGGCGATTTCCAAGAGTCATGTTGCAGTCGACAGTTGCCGCAGCGTACTGAATGCGCAGTCGCAGCTGATATAGCTCGTTGGTTTGTACCTTCCGCGTATTGTAACCTTTCCAAAAGGCCTGAGACAAACTCACGTTATACCGGGGAAAGCATAGAAACTTGTACCTGAATGAGAATAGCAGAGGAAAGGATCTTCTTAAGCAGAGTGCGAGCTTTCCATCCACGATAACATGATTGTATCGTAGTCGCGGCCTGCTTTCTCTTATGAACGTGTGCTGCTTCATCGGATCCAGTGCGCTTCCTGGAACAGAATCCACGCCAATAGGATTGCAAAACTGTTGCAGCTCCGTCCAAATTTCTAGACGCTTTCTGAAAACAAACAGTCAACTCGTTACAAACGCTGTTCATTACGTACCTTTTTACTTGTTTGTCTCGCCTTCCAGCATTCGTAAGCGGCTTGTGCAATATTAGCAGCCTCCGCCTTCTTCCTCTGAACGTGTTTTCTCCATCTCGACTGTATTCTCCTGGCTGCTGAGTTCACAACAAAACTTCGGGTCGCCAACCAGCTTCTGAAACAAGATTGGATGTGGGAAGCAGCGAGCTTAAGTCGCAAATAGCTTCTTTGAGCTCTTCGTCGTCTGTAATGGGCTTCAAGAAGGACCACCGCGTTCCTGTACGAGCTAAACCTTTTCTGAGCAGCATATCTCCTGTAACATTTTTGAATCAGAGTCGCAGCTCCCGTCCAGTTCGATATCCGTTGTCTCACCAAGAAGCCACGAAAAACTGCCTGTATCTTGGTCACCTTTTCCTGTCTGCGCTCTAGAATCCGTCTCCACTGCTGTTGCACAGAAACAACGCGAGCCTTGAGCAAAGCGTATGAGCTACGATCAACATAGCCCCTCCATGATGCTTGAATTCTTCGAATGCTGGACAAAGTCGTCTTCAACCGCTTCTGTTGATCCCAACGCTTATAATGTGCCTGAATTACTGTTCCTGCAGCGCGCCTTTTCTCGTAAGTTCTTCGATCGACCACAGCGCGCCGTCTCTGCTCGATTCTTTTAACTGCGCATTTTGTCAACACGAACGTTCTGCGAGCTACAAAACATCTCCAAGCTGCCTGGATAGTAACTGCACCATCGACAATTTTCCTGTAGTTCTTCCTCCATTTCCAGCCCCTATAATTTCCCTGGATAACTACTGCTGCAGCTCGTTGTTCACGGAACTTCCTGCATTCCAGTGCAGCCGCCACCTTCCTGATGAACCACCTTGTCCGCACATAAGCTCGACGGGCTCTAAAGCATTTCCATGCAGCCTGGATGGTAACTGCACTCTCGATCATCCTTCTGTACTTTCTCGTATGATTCCAGCCCCTGTAACTTGCCTGGATAACTGTGACTGCAGCTCGTTGTTTCCGAAAAGTCCTTTTGCTCAACACTGCTTCCCACCTTTGCTCGATCTTTCTAACGAGGAGTTTTGTGAGGAAATACCTCCCGCGAGCAACAAAGCTTCTCCATGCTGCCTGGATTTTAACTATACTATCAGCCACCTTCCTGTAACGTCCTCTCTGCGTACTTCCTCTATAAAATGCTTGTATGCGCAGCACGGCGTTTGTTATCCTCAGCGTAGACGCTTCTTTTCTCGCTTGAAGGAAACTTCGCCATGCCTTTTGAATAATCGTGGCAGCATCGATCTTGCGCTTAAGGGACTTCCGAAAGAGAAACCGTTTCCAGCAGCACTGAATCTTGCATACGGCCAGCCTGGTATTAGTGTATACTCGTCTCGTTTTCCAGCCTCGATAACAGCATTGGATACGTATCGCTGAATCGTCCAGTCTTTGGATTTTCGTCACCTCTGTGTGAATACAAACCATAAGCGAACTCCAAACAGAATGCAGGTTAATATGAATGAACTGACCTTCCGATTGAAGTGCATCCTTCAGCACCTGCAGCCAAAACTATCTTATTGTTGTTCAAAACTCAAACAAACACAAATTTTGCAACCTGGAGATCCTCGCAAACAAGCTTTGAGAACATTAGTGCCAAGAGAAAAATCGCATTTTTCTCCATCCAGAAGGAATTCATGGCGCCACCATTACAACATTCTAGCACCTGGAGGACGCCATTAGCTGCAAGATGAACTGGCGACATCGTCAAATACAATACCTTTTGCAAAAACCCCATTTTTTTAGTCACATTATACAGTATTTGAAAGTGACAAGGACATCCATTGGACTGTCAAGGACCACCGAATCGTTAGTGAAGAGAAAATGCTACGAATTTGAAAATTATGACCTCTGGAGAGGGCTCGAAGGCTTCTACAGGCAAACATGCCGGAAGATAAAAATTGATAAGGTAGCATGATGCGCGTGCAATAAAAAAAGGCGTCTTGAAGTTTTGTAACTCGAAACCGTATGATTTGCATACCATCTGTAACAAGGAAAAACTCCGTTCCCAGTTTTCTAGAATTTGATATACCTTTCCCCATTTCAAAAGAAGATCAGAAAAATTCAAAGACGAATAATCAACTGGAAACTGCAATATCATCATTGTGAGAAAACAAAGCACTGTATCCATTAAGTACCTCGGAGCTTTTGCATTCTATGCGAACAATTTCTTGTACAAGCGCCTCCTTGCTTAAAAGATGTGGTATCTGCAGACGCAGCAGTTAGGCAACCAAGAATCGACAGCGGAAGCAAAAACCTGCACTTGGATTAGAATGTTCCAGGCAAGGGCGAGCATTATCTCATGGTCCCCGTCAACAATAAAATCCGCAGAAATTGCATATCCATGTTCGTCTTCGAGAGAAACTCCAGCTCGAGAAAGGATTTCAAGGGCAACGTCACAGTTATGCTTTTGCCGTTTCCTAAGCGTTGGTGGTAGCTGGATTTTCTGCAGTCACGAGTAGAGTCAGAGAAACTTACGAGCACCAACCAACCTTTACACCGGAAGTGTCGCCCGATATTACTTGTGCTAATCTGCACAGTCGAACGCCATCTTGAAAATCTTTGAAACTTGTAATTTGAAAGTTGAACTCGATCAAAGAAGTCTGTAAGAAACTCCATGTCAGTCAACGATCAAGGAAACAGAAAGCTAAAACCTGGACATGAATCAACCGATAGCCTACAGTGCTCAGATGAGCCATCAGATCTCCTTCTCCATGCATAGCGTTCTTTAAAATATCTGAAAGCGCACAGTTTACTGGTGAGCAGGCTCTATCATTTTGCTTACCTTGCAATGCCTGACGGCTCGACTTGATCACCGAATCTCTACGAAACAAAAGGATTGATCCGCCATCGAGGCCGTCTATACCACGGTCGTTTTGTAGAGCAGTTTGACATCTCAGTCGATCGAGTACTAGAACGAAAATGAGTAGCCGTTTAAGAATGACCCTTCCAAGAGCCTCGTGATAACCCTGCCGATATAATCCTTCAACAGTTCTGCGAGACAAAAGTGTCAATGTTGCAGAGTCGAAACATCACTTACTTGTTGGTTGAGTAGCATTTTGCAATTCCAGCATGGACAAAAAATTCCTGCTCGAGCATGCTTTCTAAGTATCTCGCGTCGTTATTGTCAGCGTCGCTTCCGAAACTCAAGCCGAGTACGATATAAAGCCCCAGCTTAAGCCACGGCGGAGAAAAGCCCAGGAGGACATCGACTGCTTTCTTCCGCAGCCCGACGTCAGCAAGAACAGCACAGCCATCTTTCATCCTCAATTTTCCGTCATCTATACGCTGATAAAAATAAAAAGAAAAACGAAAGAACTAAGTTACAATCTCACATTCGATCTTCATACCTTGCCTACTTGAAGCATGATGGAAACAATCTCCTCTCGACATACTGGATCAAACTGCGTGCTCAGACGTTGCCGGAAACTTGACAGAGTAAACAGTGTTCGCAGGCTTTCGTTTTCCTTTCCCGTCAAAGCACTTCCTCTAGCTTCCCCGTTGGATCTGAAAGATGTTGCTTGCTCCAAGTTTCTCGAATCATTCTTTCTAATCTCCCCAAAGTTGGCGGCTTGCGGTGTCACCACACCAGCCTTCTTCACTGCCTGTTCCAGAACAAGATTGAACCAGCTCACGTAAAGCTTTTCCTGCGACCGTAGCGAGTTTTCTCTCTTCGCGACCATTGTTTCAGGATAGTCGACTGGCTTGTTTTTCTTCTTTCCGGACAGAGGTGGCCGCAAGACCGCTTGCTTCGATCGGAGAGGCTTGGAAGCTGTTCGTGACGACGTTTTCTCAAAGTCGATCGACGGCGAGTAAGGGAATAGAACATTATTTTGCCTGTTGCTTGCCTTCAAGGGTGTGATTTGCGACGAGAACGAGCTCCGCAAGCGTGGGGGCAGCAGTGGTCCAGGCGGGAGGGAGACACAACTGATCTTGCTATGGAAATTCTCATCGTTCTCGCACGCCTGTGGAGCAGCTTCTTTCGGCTTATCAATCTGCGTCTTGTCAGCGCGAGAAATCCTGCCCCTGGTGGACACATTCCCGCCCGGCGACGTGAAAACCAGCGGACTCTGGCACCAGAGGATGAAATCCGCGTCGAGCCTCGGATCTTGGCGCTTGGAAACCGGCGTATCCATCAAATCCCTCTACGTTACCCTGATTCGCAGACACATATATCCTGATTCTCCAAAAGGAGAGAAATGGACCTCTAGTACCTCACAGATGCGATCGTCCTCCTTCGATCGCCATCGCCATCGCTTCTTCACAATATGACCGTTAGACCTAAAACCGCAGCCGTTCGATCTACTCTGCCAATCGAACGGTCCAAAATTCGAATGTTTGGGTTTAACCAGGAATATGCTTAAATAAGATATATACGAAGAATATACTCGTCATTTGGAATCAAAAGAGGGTCACAATGGACTGGACTAACGCATTGGGCATGGAGAAAAATGGGGAATGATCTGAATTGAGCTCCAAAACCTTGAGTGGAGGGGTCTGCTTGATCATCTCCTCCTGGATTTCCAGTGGAATGGTTTTGTCCTTCTTAGCTTTGATGTAATAGCGAGGAACTTTGCCATAGTTTGCAACAGTGAAGCTCACAGTGGGATCAAAGTATGGGAATGGTTTTAGTATCGACTTGGCAAGAACAAAGTCCTGGAATTCAGCTGTTTTAGAAACTTTGTTTGAAGCTCCTCATAGTTACCTGTGGAGGAGATCTCTGGTATAGCATTTCTCGGGCATGCTCGGGCTTAAATGAGCCAGCAGTAACAGAGCCATTTCTAAACGAAAGTATGAATTTGTCTCCAAGTCCTTGCGCGATCTTTCAATGAGATTTAGATTCATTAGAAAGCAATCTAAGATCCAAAGATATGGATGCTTACCTTGTTGTAAATGCTAAGGGCTTGAGATCCATTGCTAGGGAGCATAATAGCAGTAATGTAAACAGCTCCAGAGATTTTCTGGGGGAATCTTTCCATAGCATATGTAAGAGAAATGCCCCCTAAACTATGTCCGACCAAGATCACCTGCAAGAACGATAGAAAATTAACAGGAACTTCTCAAAGTATACCTTGACGTTTGCTGGCAAAGACTCGAGCAATTCGATCAAAGGGACCGAGTAAGTCTCCAGGTTACCGACGGTTTTTGCATCCACGCCGTTGGTCCCAGCGCTGGTTAAATCCACAGCCTCCACCCTGTGGCCCTCTTGTTCCAGCTTGTGTGTGACTTTGTACCAACACCAGGCACCATGGCCAGCTCCATGAACTAAAACAAAATGGAGCTTCTTAGGAACCTTTTGCTCTAGTTTGACACCATTGGCGACCAAAACATCACAAGATGAAATGTAATAGAGCACAATCCAAGTGATGAGAACGATCAAACTATGATCAAACATTGTAAATTCTGTACAGGCATTTAGGCTTTACCAAGGTTTTCTATGCTGACTAAAAAATAGTGTTCCTCGTGCATGTCGTCAGTTGGCTTTGACTGCCACATAGGATATTATCTTGACTTTGTTTGAATCATTGAATTTACATGATAGAATGAACTAAGTTCTTGTGCTTTGAGAAAAATGGAGAATGGTCTGAATGAAGCTCTAGAACCTTAGCAGAGGTGTCTGTTTATCGTACACTCTTGACTGTCCAGTGGAATGGTGAAATCTTTTGTGGCTTTGACAAAGTAAGGAACACTTCATAGTTTGCTGCGGTGAAGATCACGGTAGGGTCAAGAAACGGGAATGACTTTAGAATTGATTTGGAGAGGACAACATCCTGTAAGTGATTTCAAAGATGGAGATCACGAAGGAGAATTAAAATCATGCATTCTTATCACCTCTGGAGGAGATTTTGGGTATAGAAGTTGTCAAGAAAGCTCTAGCTTAAGCGAACTAGCAGCAGGTGTTGAAGAGGAGCCTTTACGAAATAGAGGCGCTTCTAAATCATACAAATCTCCCATGGCTTAGTGTTAATTATATGGCTGTAGTTTAGTAGAATTTCAATAGAATTATAAAATTCTATAATAATAATAATAATAATATGATTCAGTACCTGGTTGAAAACAATTCAAGCTTGAGTGGCATTAAGCGCAGTTACAAAAAAAGATCCAGCAACTCTCTTGGAAACTTTCCATGGCATATGTAAGTGAAAGACCTATGAAATCACCTGGATATTTCATACAGTTTATATAAAATGAAATATATGTGATTATCTTTTCCTTTGAAGCAGTCGGACCAAAGAATCCGATTAAGTCTCCAACTTATCCACTGTAAGTACATCCATACCGCTCGTTGCAACGCTAGTTAAGTCCAGCGGATCCACTTGGCCTGTTCCTCAAGCCCTTGTGTGACTTTATACCAGCCGCGGCCAGCTCCATGCATGAAGTGGAACTTACTGGATTCATGGTTGCTTGCTTGTGCGAGGATAGCACAGGTGTGAGGAGAATCAAAGAGATAATGAGGTGAACCATTTGAGCTATACAAATTTTGCCACTATAGACAAACCGTATAGAAGAACCTTGTAGAAGAGCGTAGAAAAATCGGGTGAACTATATCATCACTAGTCGTTCAGAAGTCATTGTTGGAAAAGACTTCTAATTTTTTTTTACTGGAACATTTTGACTTTGACACGGACTTCTTAAAGATGTACATTATATTATTACATGCTTTTAAATCCTCATTATATGATTAAGCCAGAGACAATAGCAGCTTCACTAACGCAAGTGGGGTGGAGAAAAATGGCGAGTGATCACTGTCAAGCGTTAAGACTTGGAGTGGAGGGTTCTCGTAAATCATTTCCTCTTGACGTGCCACTAGAATAACTTGATCCTGGAGTGTTTTGATGAAGTAACGAGGAACACCTCCATAGTTGGCAGAGGTGAAGTTCACAGCAACATCGAACAGCGGGAATGGCTTAAGCAGTGATTTCGCCAAAATAACATCCTACGTAAAAGTATCTGTTAATGAAAACTTCTAAGCTTTGTTTGTTTACCTGTGAAGGAGATTTGTTATATAGCACTTGTTGGGCGCGGTCTAGTTTAAATGCAGCAGCCGAAGGTACCGTGGAGCCATTTGAAAATATCAGTGTCAAGCTGCCGGGAGTTCCCTTTCATAATGAAAGCGACTAAAATAAAAAACTAACAATCAAAATAATTACCGGCTGGTTGAAGATCTCCCGAGCCCGAGTTGCATTGTGAGAAAACATAAAAGCAGCGAGATAAACAGCTTTGGAGATTCGGCTAGGCATTTTCTCCAAGGCGTATGTAAGCGTGATTCCTCCCGAGCTATGGCCAACCAAGATCACCTGAAAGTTTCAATAGAAGCGAGAAACTCAAATTCCCCCAAAAAACTTACACAACTTACTGTGTCATTCACGGACTCAAGCATCTGGATCAAGGGAGCCGAATACCTCTCCACGCTACCAACGGTGGTAGCATCGACACTGCTCGTTCCAGCACTGACCAAATCCAAGGTGTCCACTTGGTGGCCAGATTGTTGCAATGCATTCGCGATTTTGTACCAGCACCACGCACCATGGCCAGCTCCATGAACAAGAACAAAATGGTGTTTCTTGGCATCCACAATTTTACCAGAGACTGGGAACTGGAGAAGAAAGAGAACAACTATGCCTAAGAAGGCCGCAATCCATCCCATAGCCCTGTTGATCCAAGAAGCAATCTGAGTCTTACAAAGATTGTTTAAGTTAAAAAACTTGCGAGTATAAAAGAATATACTTTATTCGATAGCATGCTTTAGCGAGTATTTTTGAACCTTAGGTATATTCGTTTGTGGAACTGATAGTTAGCTTACCTGTGAAGGAGATCTGCATTTCTCTGGTGCTCTAGCTTAAATGAGCCGGCAGTAATTCCAAACAAAAGTGTCTCCAGGTCCTTGGGCGATCTTTCAATGAGATCTAGATTCAGTAGAAGCAATAGATGCAAAGATATAGATGCTTATCGAAGGGGCCAAGTAGTTTTCCAGGCTACCGACTGTGGTTGCATCCACGCCGTTGGTCCCGGTGCTCAGTTAAATCCATAGCGTCCACCCCCTCTTGTTCCAGCTTGTGTGTGACTTTGTCCGGTTAAAAGCTTTCTGAAACTTTTGCCCATGGGCGATTAAAACATCACAAGATGAAGTGTAATAAAGTGATGAAGACGATCAAACTATGATTAGACATCAGACATTTTGTAATAAGCCGGCCTAGAAATACAGTGACTGCCACAATTTCTTTACTTTTTGACAAAATCTTTGACCACTGACATGATAGAGTGAACTAAGTTCTTGGGCATTGAGAAAAATGGAGAGTGGTCTGAATGAAGCTCTAGAACCTTTTGCGGAGGATTCTGCTTGATCATGTCCTCTTGACGTCTCAGTGGAATGGTGCGGTCTTTCGTGGCTTTGATAAAGTAGCGAGGAATACTTCCATAGTTTGCTGCAGTGAAGCTCACGGCAGGGTCAAGAATCGGGAATGGCTTTAGAATCGATTTGGCAAGGACCACATCCTGTAAGTTGGAGAAAGATTACAAAGGAGAATTGACAACAGTAAAATTTATTACCTCTGGAGGAGATTTTTGGTACAGAAGTTGTCGAGCAAACTGTAGCTTGAACGAAGAAGCAGCAGGTGTTGAAGAGGAGCTATTACGAAATAGAGGTGTCATATATTTTTGTAAACCTTGAGTAATCTGTAATATAGAATTATAAAATAGTAATAATTATTATTATTATAGTACCTGGCTGTAAGCTCGCCGAGCTTGAGTTGCATTCGAAGATAGCATAAGCGCAGTTACGAAAAAAGATCCAGAAATTCTCTCTGGAAACTTTTCCATGGCATATGTAAGTGAAAGACCTGCTAGACTATGCCCAACTAAAATCACCTGGAAATTTCATACAATTTACAGTCATTCCTTTGATAAAATAGATGTGTTACCTTTTCCTTTGGTGGAAGTGATTCAAGCAGTTGAACCAAAGGAACCGAGTAAGTCTCCAAGCTATCCACTGCAAGTGCATCCACACCACTCGTTCCAGCGCTGGTTAAATCCAGTGCATCCACTTTGTGGCCCTGTTCCTCAAGCTCTTGTGTGACTTTATACCAGCACCATGCTCCATGGCCAGCTCCATGCACTAGAACAAAGTGGAACTTACTAGATTCCTGGTTGCTTGCTTGTGCGAGGATCGCGCAGGCAAGGAGAGTCCAATAGATAAAGAGATGAACCATTTGTGCCACTACTGTGTAGAAGAACCGTATAGAAGTAGAAGAGCGTAGAACAGATGGGCAAAATATATTGTCACCAAGTCGTTCAGAAGTCTTTGTTGGAGAGGACCTCTAGTCTTTTTGACTGTAACTTTTTGACTTTGACTTACTTGACTATTGACTAGAACTTACTGGATTTATGTTTGCTTGCTTGTGCAAGGATAACATAGGTAAGGAGAATAATGAGATTTGAGTTAAGGGCCAACCCATCCAGTGTATGAGGGGAATTTTTTTGGTATATATGGAATTCAAAAACCATAACATGGAATTTTAGGGCAACTAAGCTCTTGTCCGATAAGCTTTTCAAGCTTGGATGTTTGGCTTCCTCCTTGGGCTCTTGTTGAAGAATCTGTTTGTTCTATATTTTTGCATAACTATTTCAAATTTTTGAAGTTTTTCCTGTAGCAAGTCCAACTTAATTCTTTGTTCATTTTCTTTTTGTTTCTCTCCAACTTTTGTGCTTCTTTCACTGCTGTTGTTTGTAAGTTGAAATTCTCCCATTAGCTCTTCTAATCAAACAATCTCCTGCATAAACTTCCTCAATTTTTGTGGCCTTTGCTGGCAGTAATGTATTCTAAGTTGTTCCATAGGGAAAACCTCTACCTCTCCCATGTTTGTAATTACTGTTGAGTTTACGTGAAAAATAACATTTGTGAGCTGAGCCATAAATTTCTTTCATTGTTGGCTAGTGAGGGGGAAATTTTCTTAGTGGTCATTTCCTCCCAGCGGTCCGCCTGTCAACCTATTGACTATCTCTGTAAGAATATTTAAATATTGTACTATAAACTTTTTTATCTCCATAAATTTGAAAAGGAATATAACGAGAATCCAAAACTATTTTGTCAAGCTTTGAGCAGGCAAGTAAAAAGATGATACAATATGACGTGTATGCTCCACCAGGACAGAGATAACTAGAGCGTAGTCTAGCACTTGTTCCTGCGGTATAAAGCAAGTGTCCAAAAGTCTTTCAAGTAGAAAAGATCAAAGCGAAAGCTTACCGGCTTTGTGATTGAAAACTGGTTCATGATATCCATGCATTGTCGGTCTTGTCCTCCTTTGCTGTGACTCCAGCAGCGCTTGGAGACGATTCATTGGAAGGAGCCGGAGGCTGGGAAGGCCTTCTTCTCTCGTGACAGAGCTCGAAACATCAAGCACATCCGTCGTCGTTGGCGATTAAGATCCTGACCATAAAAGCGGGATATATGTTCTCCAAGAAAAAGCATTCAGTTATGTGTAAGAGCACCAAATACTGAGTATACAATGAGCAACATATCGACAATTCAGGCAACGTAACATAAGCACTTGTGTATGTGAGGAAAAACACATACCAGCGGCAAGTTTGTATGAGATTCCAAGCTCTATAGCTGCAAAACCAGGGATCCAACACAGTGATGAGACAAGATGCTCTCGAAGTATGACGTGGTGCTGACAGGCACACGACATTACCATGGAAAATTCAGCGAAGAGAAAAAATCGACACCTGGGGATCAGAATGTGCCTAAGCCCAAGCTACACGTGGCAAAATCCAAACCACCCATGACGAGAACGTCTCCCATGTATGGCAAATCCGGGACTTTCGATTCCATGTGCGGGACCCAACGACGCTAGTTTTTGATCGAATTCCAGTGTGGGACGTGGTTTGCTTAAATTCCATTGTCATGGAATGTGATTATTTCGGTGTATGGAGATTTTCTCGAAGCAAAGAAGCTATTCGATAGGATGGAACGAGATTCTCACAACAAAAGACTGATCAATCCAGACTCGACGATCGTTGCGCAGAGATCTTGATGGAGCACGAAAGTTCTTTGCGAGGACGACACCGTGTCATGAGCAACACTTACCAACTCATTTGCGTAGCATGGCTGCACTATTCTAGCAACAAGGATGTCAAACTGCGATCAATCTCTTTGATTCAATGACCGTTTTTCTAACAAAGACAATACTCGTCAAGGAAAGAAGAGAAAGAACAAAAACGAGAAAGGAGAAAAGCTCGAGATTAACAATTTTGGGGAGGAATTAGAATATGACAGGTGAGGAGAATTAGTCACGTAGCTATTTTTCTTCCGTGAGCTTCGCAGCTTATAAAGTTCTTAAGTTCCATCCTTCGTATGTAAGTTCTTCACTAAATTACCACTTTGTTCTATGTAAAGTTCTTCGCTATGTTTTTCTTCTGTGATTTTCACAAGATTTCTTGCAAGGTTTAGGGTTTAGGGAGGAGCTCTTGTTCCTCAGAGCTCACTGTAGCAATCGTTCCAGCAATCGAGCTCCACCTTTGTCTTGCGTGGAACTACCGGTTCTGGAAGCTCTCGGCGGTTTCCAGGCCTCCGCAGCTGGCGTACATGTCGAGCAGTGCGGTTGTGAGCACTGCATTGTCTTCCAGACCACCGGTCTCCAGAAGTTCCTGGTAGAGGAGCTTGCCTTGCACTGGAGCTGGAATATGCTTGAGCAGGCACTCCATCTGTAAGCAGTGACGCCATCCAGCTGCATTCTCGCGAAGAGCGACAGAGTCATCTCCAGATCCCCGACTTGGGCGTGAGCCAAGACGATGGACGTCCAGGAGCTCACGTTCTTGCTCGCCATCTTTCAAAAATTTCCCGAACGCCCTCTAGTCTCCCAAGCTTGGCGTTCAGGAGCGAGTGCCACAAGGGTATGTTGGAAGCAAACTTGCTCTCTTCGATCAGTTGAGTGGCAATTACTTCTGGAAGATCTTTCTGACCAGAGCAAGCAAGAGCGAAGCAGAGAAATCAACAGTGACGCAAGTCACCGGAGATGGCTTTACTCGATCCAGCTCCATCCGTGTCAACAGCAACAACGCCTCAACAAAATGCCTATTCTGCGCAGAAGCAGAGACCACGAGAAAAGATCTCTGTTCCAGATGCCCGCAAACACTTTATATGCTAGATCAAGCTTGCCTGTAGTATCGTGTTTCCGACGAACTGGTCTTCAGCGCCTCGCTGAAACAAAGCTGTGCACGCAACGAATTTGTGCTAGACTATTCTCTTGTACGGACCATTTGAGAAGAGACACAGAGGCTCTCGACACTGCCGGGTTGACATCCACGGTTCGCGAGTGATCTCCATATCTTCGCTTCCATCCAGGTCTCCATGAACTTGGCATTCACAGATTCGAATCCGCTGCAAACTCATCTAGCAGGATTGATGCATCCCATGACCAAGGAGCAAGCTCTAAACCAAGAACTCCCCAAGAACAATCTGTGGTCCTCCCCAATCAAAAATGGCTTGCGCTCGGTGAGCCCATCCGCAAACTTGTAGAGGCAATCTGTATAACATTTCTAGGGTTATATGGCAATAGCTTTCGTTCTTATCATGGTCAACTCTTTAAAGTCTTGAATCTGGAAGGCTTCATGGGATCGCTTGCTGCCCGACACGTTGGCTTCAATGGTTTCTGACTAAGATCTAAGCCTGTTTTAAACCCTAGAATGCAAAAGGCTGCTTATATAGATATATTCCATGAGCCATTCTTCAAATAAATTGCTTATTTTGGTGCCACAAGGGATCTTGTTATTAAGCCAGAGACAATAACAACCTCACCAAAGAATGTGGGGTGGAGAAGAATGGCGAGTGATCACTGTCAAGCGTTAAGACTTGGAATGGAGGGTTTTCATGAATCATTTGCTCTTGACGCGCCCGTAAAATCGTTCGATCCTGAAGAGTTTTGATGAAGTAACGAGGAACACGTCCATAGTTGGCAGAGGTGAAGTTCACGGCAGCATCGAACAGCGGGAATGGCTTAAGCAGTGATTTCGCCAAAACAACATCCTACTTACAGTACGTGAAAGTATCTGTTAATGCAAACTTCTAAACTTTGTTTCTTTACCTGTGAAGGAGATTTGTTATATAACACTTGTTGGGCGCGGTCTAGATTAAATGCAGCAGCCGTAGGTACCATGGAGCCATTTGAAAAGATCATTTTCAAGTTGCCCGGAGTTCCCTTTCATAATGAAAGCAAAAAACATAAAATATAAAAATAAACATAGCCAATAAAAATAATTACCGGCTGGTTGAAGATTTCCCGAGCCCGAGTTGCATTGTGGGAAAACATAAAAGCAGCGAGATAAACAGCTTTGGAGATTCGGCCAGGAATTTTCTCCAAGGCGTATGTAAGCGTGATTCCTCCTAAGCTATGTCCGACCAAGATCACCTGAAAAAGCGAGAAACTCAAATTCGCCCAAAAACTTGCACAAACTTACTGTGTCATTCAGAGAGTCAAGCATCTGGATCAAAGGAGCCGAATAATTCTCCACACTACCAACAGTGGTAGCATCGACACTGCTCGTTCCAGCACTGACCAGATCCAATGTATCCACTCGGTGACCGGATTGTTCCAACTCATTCGCGATTTTGTACCAGCACCACGCACCATGGCCAGCTCCATGAACAAGAACAAAGTGGTGTTTCTTGGCATCCACCGAGAATGGGAATTGGAGAAGAAAGAGAACAAATATGCCCAAGAAAACCGCAATGCATCCCATCACACAGAGAGAGAGAGAGAGAGAGAGAGAGAGAGAGAGAGAGAGAGAGAGAGAGAGAGAGTAGAAATGTAGTTGACGTGCATACCTTTTAAAACTTATGCGGTCCCATGCAAAAGAGAGTAGGAATGTAGGTGACGCACATACCTTTCAAAACTTATGGTCCCATGCAAGACCCCACAGAGAGAGAGAGAGAGAGAGAGTAGAAATGTAGATGACGCGCATACCTTTTAAAAACTTATGCGGTCCCCAAAGAGATCTAGTTTGACTTTAAAAAGAATATACTTAAACTTAATATATTTTTTACGAATATTCATTTGGGGCTGTTGAAAGAGCCGTGCATCAGCCGATTCGAAGAGCCAATTGAACCAGTTCAAGCAAGAGCACACTCACGCAACGATGCCATGGAAAAGACCACTCCTACCTTTCAAGAGAGGAGATGTGGTAGTTGCGATGCTCAATTCTTTCGAGGAGGAAAAGCTCTAGTTGCTCGACGATAAAAGACTCTCAGCTGCAGGCTTTGGAAGAAACCAGGAACGTTGTCGGCCGAAGACCTTGCAAACTAGCTTAAGGACGTCCACGGCCTCCAAGAAGATTTCCTCCTTGTTCCTGGAAAAGTGCTACTCAGCCAACAAGTGATGGTTTGGCTTTGGCTACATCGTCTCTTAGAGCTGTTGAAGGACTATTATATATCAGCAGAGTTATCACGAGGCTCTTGGACTGCTGATTCTACTCATTGTGGTTGTAGTACTCGATCGACTCAAATGTCGAACTGCTCTGGTATGGCGGATCAAATTCTGTTCACAGAGAATTGTAAACAAACAAAGATTTAGACTTTTATTTGCTTTTATTAACAGATATTTAACTGTAACTATGGACGTGTTCCTCGTTACTTCGTCAGAACTCTCCTGGATCGAGCGCAGTGGCTCGTCAAGAGTAAATTTCACGAAAACCATCTATTCCAAATCTTAACACTTGTCACTCGCCATTTGCTTTAGTGTTGCTATTGTCTCTGCTATGGAATAATCCAGCAAGAAGTTCGTGTCCAAGCGAAAAAGCTCCGGTCAGGAAAAGGCTATAGACAATAACTTCTGAACAACTAGTGACCATATATTTCACCACATTTTCAATACTTCTATACAGTTTTTCTTGAGTGGCAGAATTTGTATTGCTACAATGGTTCATCTCTTTATCTATTGGATTCTCCTTGCCTGCGCGATCCTCGCACAAGCAAGCAACCAGGAATCTAGTAAGTTCCACTTTGTTCTAGTGCATGGAGCTGGCCATGGAGCATGGTGCTGGTATAAAGTCACACAAGAGCTTGAGGAACAGGGCCACAAAGTGGATGCACTGGATTTAACCAGCGCTGGAACGAGTGGTGTGGATGCACTTGCAGTGGATAGCTTGGAGACTTACTCGGTTCCTTTGGTTCAACTGCTTGAATCACTTCCACCAAAGGAAAAGGTAACACATCTATTTTATCAAAGGAATGACTGTAAATTGTATGAAATTTCCAGGTGATTTTAGTTGGGCATAGTCTAGCAGGTCTTTCACTTACATATGCCATGGAAAAGTTTCCAGAGAGAATTTCTGGATCCTTTTTTGTAACTGCACTTATGTTCACTTCAAACGCAACTCAAGCTCGACAAGATTTCAACCAGGTACTGAATCCTGAATCATATTATTATTTTGTCATTTTATAATATTCCATATTGCAGATTTTTCAAGGAATTCAACCATATATCACACCTCTATTTCGCAATGGCTCTTCTTCAACACCTGCTGCTGCTTCCTTCCGGCTAGAGTTTGTTCGAAAAGTTCTATACCATAAATCTCCTCCACAGGTGATCGTACTATGTCAATGCTCCTTCGTAATCTTTTCTATCATTACAGGATGTTGTCCTCGCCAAATCGATTCTAAAGCCATTCCCGGTTCTTGACCCTGCGGTGAGCTTCACCGCAGCAAACTATGGAAGTGTTCCTCGCTACTTTATCAAAGCCACGGAAGATCGCGCCATTCCACTGGAAAGGCAAGAGGACATGATCAGGAAGACTCCTCCGTTCAAGGTTCTAAAGCTTCCTTCAGACCACTCTCCATTTTTCTCAATGCCCAAGAGCTTAGTTCACTCTATCATGTCAGTGCTCTAGCTCAAGAGACCAATTCAATGTCTCAAACAGTGCAAAGTTTTTTAAACTGTAACGAGTATACTCCGAATATCCGTTTAGGGTTCTTGAGCAAAATGGGGAAGCTGGGCAGGATCTATCATCCCGGGTGCTCACAGGGCGATGCCAAGACGTACGCGCTGGCGATCGTCCGTGCGATCCAGGAATGCGGCGCGCTTACGTCGCATCAGCTGTGGGATCACGCCCAGGCCGAGGGGATTCGCACCAAGCGCCAACTGAAGCAATTCCTGCGGTGGATGAAGCAAGAGCACCTGGTGAGCACCGTCGAGCTTCCAGCCCATGGCGACAACCGCGTCTACAAGCTCCCGGACAGGATCCGCGACGATGCCATCTCTGGCGTGAGCGCTGCGGCGGGGAGGATCGAGACGCCGGAAAAGGAGTACAAGATTGATCTTGGCGAGATCTGGCTCAAGAACAATCCCCGCGAGCAGCTAACCAAGTACGAGCTCCGCCTCCAGGCGCGAGAGGAGAGGCGCGGCCTAGCTCCACTCATGCCTTTCTGGGATATATGAGAGAAGAGATCTGGCAGTTGCGATGCTCGATTCTTGTCGAGGAGAAAAAGATCTAGTTGCTCGACGATGAAAGACTCTCGCTTGCAAGCTCCGGAGATCTTGGAAGAACTTACGCAAGTCAGTATGATATGAAAGAGAAACGAAAGAGAAGGTTCTCACCTTTGTTTTACTGGCTGGAAGTCTCGGTCCGGAATGTCTCTGCTGTGTTGCTCGATCCTCCAGTGTTGCTGCTGTGATCGAGCAACTTGAGGTTCCTGAGGCCAAAGTACCAGGGTGATTTTGTCGGGAGAGGGGCGAGCTTGAGGTAGCCAAGAAACATGGCCACGACTTCGCTCATGCTCGGCCGACTCGCCTCGTCTTCGTGCGTGCACAGCAGAGCAATGTGAATCGATCGCAGGGCCTCGGTTTGCGAGTAATTTTTCGATCGTAAGAGTTCCTTATCCACGATCTCTTCCACATTTCCGCCTGGGTGAAACGACCATAACTGTGCAGGCAAGAAAAGGAAAACTTTTAAGTTCGTGCTTGAAAACTTTGCTCGAGACATACCCATTCTAGGATCCCATCGTAGTTCGGTGATAATCTGGGATCCCGGCATTTCATCCCGCAGATGATCTCTAGAAGGAGCACCCCAAAGCTGAAAACATCAGCTTTTACTGTTAATCGCCCGCCCATGGCATACTCTGGTGCCATATATCCACTGCAAACAGCCAAAGTTGAGAAACAAAAAAACTCATACTTTACGGATTCCATACGTACTAGGTACCCGCAATTTTTGTATCCACTGAGGTCCTGTCTTGATCAAAGAGCTTCGAGATTCCAAAGTCTGAGATCTTAGGCGTCAGGTCTTTGTCGAGAAGTATGTTGCTAGCCTTTATATCCCGGTGAATTATCTGTATCTGAGACTCCTCGTGGAGATAAGCGAGTCCCCGTGCAACTCCAATAGCAATATTGTATCGAGTTGGCCAGTCAAGGACAATCTTGCCATTGGAATCTTGCAAAGAACAGAATTTAACACTAGTCAGCAGCAGCAAAAATTCTCAATGATAGAGACTTACTGTCAAAAGCACGATCAAGGCTCCCGTTGGGAAGATACTCGTAGACTAGCAATCTTTCATCGCCTTTGACGGAGTAGCCTCGCAGCCTGGTAAGGTTTCGATGCTGGATGCCGGTGATGATGTTAACTTCATTTACAAACTCCTGATTTCCTTGGCTAGAATGTAGAGACAATTTCTTCACTGCTACTTCAGATCCGTCAGTCAGAACACCCTGCAATACGACAAAGATAAATCATATTTTTCATAACACCAGATTTACAATTACCTTGTATACTGGGCCAAATCCTCCTTGACCAAGCTTGTTTTGCTCGCCGAACTCCTTCGTTGCAAGCTTTAGCTCCTCATAATCGAAAGTGAGAGATCGTCCTTCAAAACTATCTGAAAAGCCAGGAACATTAATTGAAAATCACAGGCAAGTTTCTTATACCTCCAAATTCTCCATGTTGCCGCAGTGACGAGCTCTGATCATCCAAATGCCGATTTCGACGACTTTTCGTCCGGAAGCAAAATACTAAAACCCCGACAGCAGCAGCCAAGGCTGCTACAGCACCGGCAGTTACCCCCACAATCACTCCTGTTCTCGAGGAGCTACCTTGAAATATAGAAAACGTTGTTTGAGTGTTACCAGTATATTTACTACTTCTATACCTTTGCGAGCTTCCGGGATTTCTGGAGGGATGGCTACTGGAGTTACCGCGGGCGACAAGTCTCCTGGCAGCTCATAACCTTCAAAAGAGAAAAAACAACAATCTTTTAAGATGGAAGAACAAGAACTTCCACAAACCTGGGATGAAATTGTAGTTCTCGAAGCGGAGGTAGCATCTATAGCTACTGCTGTTCACCCAATACTGCGCACCAACGGTGAGAGGAGCTGCTTCATCGATCCCATCCCTGGCAATGTTGAAACACTGGCCGCAATCTCCCTGGGACATGTTGTAGCACTCGCAGTAGCCAAAGACTGTGTCGGGATACTTGCCAAAGCCATAGCTCGCGGAGTCATTGCGAGGAACGGTCTTGAAGAGAAAGCCAAGAACCACATCGAGGTTTAGCTTGAAAGCGCTGCCTGGAGTGGTCTTGCGCGTGTTGGAGTAGACGATATTGGGGGAAATGCCCGAAGGCACGCTCGCAAAAACCCCGCGGCACAGGAACACGAGCAAGAACACAGCGACAGCCCTCCTCTCCATCTTCAAGAACAAAGAAAGAAGATTTCATCGATCGATCGATCGAACTGGAGTACCATACCTCGAAATATCACCGCCGCCTACATTCGCCAGGCTCCATCGATGCCGCGATCGCCGCCGCCGATCGGCGCTGTGCGCGATAAGATCTCCCGCCGCCGCCGGAAGAACAAAACCTACGATGACAACGCTGGAGGAAGTGCCCGGCATTTTCTTTCTTTTCTACTCGGTTGTCAGCTAATACTAGTATTTTAAAGGGCTCGTTGACGGAATCTCACACGAGTAACAGAATATCCAAGACTAAGTAGTTAACAGAATATCCACATCTTGCGATTAGAATCTTCTATTTGTTAGATAGTTTGTTGTTAGCTATCCAGTGACAAGGCGGGGTTGAGGCGGTAGCATGCACGAGTATGTCACGTACTTGACGCTATCCACCAAAACCACCACGAAAATTCGAGCCAGATCTTTCGATCCAGTCGATGGAACTTGCTTTGGATTGAAGATCGAGACGACCATCGAGGACGGCCGCTGGCTCTTCTCGGAGAAATTGCCTCCTCCTCCTGTGGAACTGGAGTTGAATTGCTTACCTCCTCCTGGCGAGGACGACGATGGTCCTGGCGGAAGAGGCACCGCCGAGAGATTCCTGCGGTAGCTGCCGCTTCTCTTCGCAGAAGTCGTCGGGGATTCCTGCGGGGGCCGAGGTTCCGGACTTATCTCGAATTGGAATACCTCGTTGCAAGCACCAGTGCTGAAAGGTGTGCCTGGAAAGACGAGCAAGTTGTTAGTTAGCGCGAGATGTTCTTGCAAGACTTTACCTGCGAGATCATTCAAAATCTTTCGCTGAGGATCGTCGGTATCAACGTCGCTGGGTGGAAGCGCTCGAAATGCTATATCCTGGAACACCCCCGAGTTCAAGAGCGCTGGAGCGTGACTTGCACCGCTACGCTGAGCAGCGGTCGAAGTGGGAGAAGTGGAAGCCGACGAGTCCCTGCTGCTCGCAACGAAAACGCTCGCGGCTTTGTCCCCGGCCATGACTGCTTGGATGACGAGATCGCCATCTACTTTCACTACTTGGTTGTCGCGAGGGAACAGCAGCGACGCCGGAAACCGCTGAGTTGCGTTGCCATACGTGCTCACGTTAGCCGGAAACATACTCCCATCGATCACCGCTCCACTCTTGTCCTGCCGCTCACACTTGCTCTCTAGCTTGTAACCATCCCCTGGAGACCAGGCCAGCTTCGAAGATTCGTTGCGCTCGTCCTCCAAGCCCATCAAAACTCTACCACCTATCCTGGCTTGTGCTGGATCCGACGAAACGTAGGCCCGAATCTGTCCAGTTCTCTGCGTCACCGGTATTCCCAGATCGAGAGGGAACACCAGCGCCATCACACAAAGCAACCCGAGAGCCGCCACACTCGCCAACTTCTTCGTTTTCCCAGAAGCTGTGGAGGACGTCGACGATGGTTTCTTCGTGGAATTCTCGTCTTTGGAAACCTTGGCACGCTTCACGCTCTTCACCGCCGAAGCTTGTGTCTTGAGTCGCGGGATCGGCACTGGAGGAGCACTGCTCCCGGGACGAAGAACGTATCCTCCGGGATACTGATACACCGGCATTCCCATGGGAGGAGGAGGAGCGTAAGCTCCCGGCTTGCCACCACCATTCCTCGAGTGATAGTAGTACGCGAGCTGGTTGCGAAGATTCACATTCTCGGCGCTGATGAGACTCACCGTGTTGTTAAGCTCGGCCACCGTCGCGTTGAGAGTCCGGACCCTTTCTTCCAGATCGTCCACATACGCTTTCTTTCTCTGCCGAGATAGCTGCGCGCTCTCCCTGTTACGCATCAACCTGGCCTTCCTTTTCACCTCTTCATCGTCGCCGCCATCGCCATCTTCTTGCTTCTCCTCCTGGGCGTACTCTACCTTGCGCTTGCCAAGCCTCTTGATAGGGCGGCTCGAGTTGGATTCTCCCGATGAGCTGGGCTTGTTGCTGTCGGATCCGGCCTCCTCATCCTTGATAATCTCCTCGCGGCTGGAGCTATTGCTGTGCTGCGTGATGGCGCTGCTGGGAGATCCCGTGGCCTCTTTCGGGAATGGCGGCCCCTCGAGAAATTCCGGCAGGAATTCCCCCAGAGAAGCTGAATCGCAGTCATCCAGAGGCGAGGAATTCTCCAGAAAGAGCGAGACCCAGTCCTGATCGTCCAGATTCTCTAGATCCTCTGGGAAATCTGCTGGATCGGGAAGATCCAAGAGCTCTGCATCTAGTGCCATGGCCAAACCTCGATCGAGCGCCGTGCCGGCCAAATCACGCCATCGTTCGCTCCGAACCCTAACACTCGGGAATGAAATTCCTAGGCATATTTGTATATTCCAATGCCAGTTAATCTGGGCCGCTGGATCTCATGGGCGGCATGACAGCCGTCGATCCTCCCGCGCTTGCCCTCTTCCAAGAGGAGTCCGCCATCGCCCGCGCCGTCAAGGAATGCGCCAGGCTCAAAGATCTCTCCAAGGCTCGCCGATTGGAATCGCTCGTCCAGCGCAGCGAGGAGCATGGATCCAGCAGATACCTTGCGAATTTGCTGGTGGAGATGTTTGGGAAATGCGGCAGCGTGGAGGACGCGCGCGCCGTTTTCGACCGGATCGAGCAGCCCAATGTCTTTTCCTGGAGCATCCTTCTCACGGCATACGTCCAGAACGGCGATCTGCGAGAGGCGGAGATGGTCTTCGATCGAATGCCGGATCGCAATGTCTTCTCCTGGACGACCATGATCACTGGCTACGCTTCCAGCGGCGATGTCGATCGCGCGAAGAAGATCTTCGACCGGATGCCAGAGCCCAATGTCGTCTCCTGGACGGCGATGCTCACAGCGTACTCGCAGAACGGGCTCATCAAGGAAGCGGCCGATCTGTTCGAATCCATGCCCGAGAGAACGATCGTCTCGTGGAACGCGATGCTAGCGGCGTTCGCCAAGAATGGATTCGTGGACGAGGCAAGAAAACTCTTCGATTCAATGAAGCTGCGAGACACTGGATCTTGGAACATCATGCTCGCAGCATATGCCCAGAGTGGGCATCTTGGAGAGGCCGATACGATCCTCTCTCAGATGCTCGATGTGGATATGGTTTCCTGGAACACGATGATAGTCGCGTATGGAAACACTGGAGACATGGCTATGGCTAGAAAGATGTTCCAGGAGATGCCCAGGAGAGATGTGGTTACTTGGAACTCAATGATTGCGGCAAGCTCCGCGAATGGGCATTTGGAGGACGCGCGTTTCTACTTCGATTCGATGCCACAGAGGGATTCCGTGTCGTGGAACACGATGATCAAGGCGCTGGGGCAGCACGGCTATGTGGAAGAAGCCTACGCTCTCTTCAAATCGATCCCACAGAAGAACTTCCTCTCGTGGGTCGTGATTCTCACGGTTTACGCGCAAAGAGGCCGGATTGCCGACGCGAGAGCTATCTTCGATCGAATGCCCAAGGAGAATCTCATGCCTTGGAACATCATGGTGGCAGCGTACGTAGAGAGCGGCCTCGTCGACGAGGCCAAGGAGTTTTTCGACCAGCTCATGCCGGAGCACAACGTCGTGTCTTGGAACGCGCTCATCGCTGGCTACGCTCACCAGGGACGAGCGAACGAAGGAAAGCGGCTCTTTGATTCGATGATGGAGAAGAACCTCGTCACTCGCAACGCTCTTCTGCTGGCTTACACCGAAGCTGGCGATGTCCGAGCAGCAAAAGAGTTTTTTGAGACCATGCCCGAGAGAGATGTCGCGTCTTTCACGACGCTCATCGCAGGATATGGCCAGTCGGGCGACTTCCAGGCGGCAAAACGAGTTTTCGATCTTCTTCCACAGCCGGACATGATCTCGTGGAGCACCATGATCGCAGTTTACGCGCAGAATGATCAACTCGCTTTAGCGGAGAAGATGTTCCACGGCTTGCCCGAGTGGGACGTGAAAGCTTGCAACGCGATTATAGTCGCTTACGGGCAGCACAACGAGCTGGAGAAGGCGATCTTCATGTTCGAGACGATGCCCAAGAAGGATATCGCGTCGTTCAATGCGATGGTTACTGCGTTTGCTCGATACGGTCACCTGGAAGAAGCCCGAGTTTTGTTTGAGAGGATGCCGAGGAGAGATAGAGTCTCCTGGACAGCTCTCGTCTCTTCGTACGCTCACGCAGGTCACCTCTGGACTGCTCGAAGTTTGTTCGAGAGAACTCTCGACCGGGACGTGATCATCTGGAACTTGATCGTCTCGGCTCTCGCATCCAGTGTGCAGTTCCAGGAGGCGTTTGAGATCTTCCGGGAGATGAGAATGGAAGGATTCAAGCCGGACGAGACCACTTTCATCGGGCTCTTGAGCGGTTGTAGCCATGGAGGCCTGCTGGAGGAGAGCTTGGCTTATCTCATGTCGATGCAAGGCGACCATGGATTGACGCCATCCTCGGAGCACTACTCCTGCTTCATCGACATTCTGGGACGAGTCGGGCAGCTGGAGAGGGCCGAGGACGTGATCTTCAACACGAAAGTTGCTCCAGTCGCGGTGAGAACGCTCTTGAGCGCCTGTAACGTTCATGGCGATTCTCGTTTTGGGAGCCGAGTTGCCGGAAGAGCTCTCAAGCTCGAGGATGACAGCAGTGTCGCGTATATCCTCCTCTCCAACATCTATGCTGCTGCCCCGACGTGAAAACTTCTGAAAGAAACTTGGAAGCGATGGATCCATTGATAGGTAGATCTCGCCACCGACAATCAAAGTTTCGATTCGCCTTTTTCTATTAGAAACTGGCCGTGAAGTGTAGGTGTGATTTCTTGAAGCTTTGCTAATCTGAGCTTCGCCAACACGGGAAGGAGGATTGACGCATCAGGAAACTTGACAAGAGTTTTTGCATGGAGTAATCGTCACACTTGGCCCAACCTTATATACAGGCTTCCTCCAACAATACAAATCGACCTTGTACTAGTTCTACACCATGAAGGCTGCTCTTGTTTTCCTTGTGTTCGTGTTTGTGTTTGCTACATTCGAGGTTTCATTCTCTTCTTTGAGGAGGGAGCTCTTGGCTTTGGATGGTGGAGTTGATGTCCAAGTTCTTCAACAAGATCCCAGTTCTCCTTTGCCTCCTCTCAGGTTGATGGACGATGATGATGATGATAAAGGCAAGCAGAAGAACAACAACAATAACAACAACAACAACATCAACATCAACATCAACGTCTGTCCGGGGCTTGCAAAGAACACTTCCGTGGATCATGTTGATTCAAAGAATATATAACGAAGGACTAGAAAGAAGGAGAATGACAAGGATGTGTTTAACATCCGAAATGGTTATATAGTCCGAGATGTAAGAAACGTTTGGGGTAATCTTAACATAGCTCCTTCATGACTTTTTTAGGATCCATGCCGCCGCCACCATGCAGCTTCCAAAAATCGTGGAAGCACCCAAGAGACTATTACCAATCTTTGTTCCCAGCAGTGAGGCATTTGTCGTTGCTGCGTCCTCAAATGATCTCCCAAGTTCCACGCAAGCTTGCTCCAGTGGTCTCATTGCGGCGCCACCTTTTGCTAGTGATTCTCCAAGCTCAGCCCCGCCTGCTACCACAGGATTTCCAGGTGCTTCTACTGCTTCCAGTGATTTCGCAACCAGAGCGCTACCTTTTACTGCCGCATCTAGAGAATTTCCAAACGCAGTACTGCCTGTTTCAAGAGATTTTCCAAGTGTGTGGATTGATCTTCCAAGACCTAAAGATATCGTGGTTGCGTCCATGGATCTTCCTGCTTCCAGTAGTTCGACCCTGGATTCCAGCCTTCTTAGCGATATGATCCCGCCGAGCCCAGCTCCTATAGCTATTCCTATGCAGCCAAATTTCACATCCTGCTTCCAGGCCCCCATTTGAGAATGTGCTTCGCAAACTATGTCTTTAATAGCATAGTGAGCTTTTTAAAGCTTTTTAGCAGCGCTTGAAGAGTTTTCATTCTAGCATATTCTCAGTCTATTTTAATCTTTGAACACATTTGACTCTAAAGCGTTGTGACTTTAAGGCCTAGGAAAGGATATGCGTTGATGTTAGTTTAAGCTGTCTCTGTTCATAAAAAACTTGTGCTCGATCGATCACTTGGGTTAATGAAAGCAATGGGAGCGAAGGAGAGCAAGCCTCCTCTTTCTCGCAGGAGAACTCGCTCGTCCAGCGCAAAGGAGAAAGAGAATGCTCCAGAGAGTAGTCAGCAAGTAGTAGACGATCATGGTGGGAGTCCAAGCAAAAAGCCAAAGCTTTCTCAAGATGATCAACACATGGCGCTGGCGAGAGCGGTGGAAGCCATATCCGAGGAGGAAAATGCAGCAGCTCAAGTAGCCAGCGATGGATCCATGGAGCAAGAAGCGGCAAATTCTAGCCTGGAAGTTCTCGTCACACTTCCAAATGCAAAGGTTTATCTCATGGATCACGATCAGGCTGGATCGGAAAGTGTTCTTCTCGCGTCTGGGGATCTTAGTGTCATAAGGATCGTCCAGAACGGTAGCGTGGTCGCAGCCATCGTCAAGCTCGGAGACGAGCTCCAGTGGCCGCTGGCGAAGGACGCTCCAGTCTTGAAGCTCAGCGAGAGTCACTACATTTTTAGCTTGAGACTGCCAGTAACTGTGGAGGAGGATGAAGATGAGGATCAACCTTCCAGCGAAGGGAAAGAGGAGGTCTCGTTTAAGTCAAGCGCGGAAGTTCTCAACTATGGTGTCACCCTCCCTGGAGATGCGAGCCAGGAGCTTCTCAAGGAGCTGGATTTGGCCCTCGAAAGCTATAGCTCGCTGGTGCCAGTTCCAGCGCTCCTGAAAGATCAAGACGAGGAGGTCGTGGAGATGGTGCAAGATGACGGTAATCAAGGAATCGCTGGAGTGAAGCTCACAACGAAGAAGAAGAACTACTACTTGGAGCAACTGGCTCCCAACGCCGATGACTATCAAAGCGCGATCGCAAAGGCGATTGCCAGTGGCTCGGGGCATATCGTGCGAGGAATTCTCTGGGTGAGCGAACTAATCGCGACGCAGATCGAGCGCAGTGGATTGTTGATGCAGCAGCACATCAAACCGAAAAAGAAGCCGTCAAAGATCAGCCCCAAGACAATGAAAAACATCCGGACGTAAGTTCTTGCGTTTACTAGCTTTGACTAGTGTTTTTACTGGCTCTTTGACTAGTGCCAAGCAAATCTCAAGGATGACTGAGACGCTCGCGAGTGGTCTTCTCTCTGGAGTTGTCACTGCCACTGAATCGATCACTTCCTCTGTGCTGAAAACTAAGCCAGGGGCTGCATTGATCGGGCTGTTGCGTGGAGAAGCCGCGATTGCCACTTTGGATGCCTTTGGTAAGCCAAGTTCTTCGCAATCTCTCCCAGAAAATGAATGATCACATTGTATGTGAGATCACAGTGAAAGTTTTCGATGCTTTGGAGCTGGCTGGGAAGAACGTCATGTCGCGAACAACTCTAGTAACTTGCCAAGTCGTATCACACAGGTAGATTGATCACTGTTGTGCTTGATTGAATCAAGAGAAATTTTTGTTCTAGATACGGAGACGAGGCAGCCGCATTGACAAAAGAGGGGCTTTCAACCGCAGGCCATGTCGTCACTACTGCATGGAAAATCTCAAAAATTAGAACAGCCATGAATCCGGTGAAGGCTTCCACAAATCCAGTCTCGCTCAAAGCCGCCGCCATCGCCGCCGCTGAACAGCTCAAAGGCAAGAAGACCATGTAACTCCCAGTTGAATTCTAACCGTCCGATGGATGTTAACTTAACCCTAATTTGAAAAAACTGTCAATGAATATACCGAGTATATTTCTCGAGGTTTAGGGTTCTTAGGCATTTTGGAAATGACTCGCTACGCGCAGCTCGTGATCGGGCCGGCGGGCAGCGGCAAGGTGAGTCAGATTTTGCGTTTCCTGTGCTCAATCTCTGATCTCGATCTTGCAGTCGACGTATTGCTACCATTTGCAGCAGCATTGCAACACGATCGGGCGGAACCTGGATGTGATCAATCTCGATCCAGCGGCGGAGGATTTCAAATACGCGGTTGCTGCAGGTCTGTAAGGATTTCAGTGTTGCAAAGATATTAGTTTGGATCCATTTTTCATCAGATATAAGAGAGCTTGTTCCTCTGGAGGATGTGATGGAAGAATTTAACTATGGACCAAACGGAGGCCTCATCTATTGCATGGAGTAAGATTTGAGTAGAGCTTTCGTTCTACACAGGGATTTCTGGCTGACCATTTCTAGTGTAGATATCTTGAGGAGAATATGGACGACTGGCTTGCAGAGAAACTAGAAGACTATATCGACGATGACTACGTTGTCTTCGACTGTCCAGGTTTGTGGTAGTTTCTCTTCACTAGTTTTAGTTGTAGTGATTACACAGGTCAGATTGAGCTCTACACACACATCCCCGTGTTTAAAAGCCTCGTCGAGCAACTTAAGCGCTGGGATTTTAATCTGTGCGCTGTCTACCTCCTTGATTCTCAGGTAGCTCTACTCGGATTGATTTGGTGTATCACAGGCAGAAGTTTGCTTTTGTTCTTGTGCAGTTTGTTTCTGATGTTACCAAGTATATAAGTGGATGCCTGTCGTCCTTGTCTGCTATGGTCCAACTCGAACTTCCTCATGTGAATGTCCTCACGAAGATGGATCTCGTGGCCAAGAAAAAAGACATCGAAGAGTACGTGCTACCTATCCAGTATACTTACTTCGTTTTCACAATTTTGTGTGTAGCTACCTTGACCCTGATCCGGTTTTCCTACTGTCGGAGATGAATGCAAATACCGCTCCACGATACGGAAAGCTCAACGCCGCACTCGCAGAATTGGTTTGTTTTTTCCCACAAGTTTTGTAATTATTTACAGCTTCTGCTTCCGGCAGATTGACGATTACAGGATGGTCAACTTCGTACCTCTGGACGTCACAAGCGAAGACAGGTACGCCATTTTTTTACCTGTGGGAATTGTGTGATTGAATGGCTCCTTGCAGTTTGCAGTATCTTCTCTCCACTATCGACAATGCGATTCAGTATGGAGAGAACAGTGAAGTCAAGATAAAGGACTACGATCCTGATATCGGCGATGGCATGTCGTTCAACATGGATGCTGATATCGAGACAGATAACTTCTAACGTCTAGTAGTATGTAACATACTTTCCGGTGCTAATTCAGTTTCGAAATGTTGTATAGCAGTACATAGGCCGCAGAATTTCGGGGTTCTGCATCCAACAGCTGCTTTGCTGCTAGAGCACCATATTCCTTGTCAGTGTGGACCTCACAAGCACCAAGTAGGCTCCTCCAGGCTGAAGCATCAGGTTGAACCGGCATGGCAGACATGAAGCTTGCAGCTTGCTTCACCCGGCCGGACTTGGCGAGCAAGTTGACCATGCATCCGTAGTGCTCGGGAGTTGGCTCTAGATGGTGGTCTCCCTGCATGGAGAGAAAGTAGCTCCATCCTTCGTCGGCCAGTCCGGCATGAGAGCAGGCATGAAGAACAGAAGTGAACGTAACAATATTCGGCAGCACTCCGTCCTGATTCATCGTCCAGAACAGGTTGCGAGCTCTGTCTTCTTCGCCGTTCCGTGCATAAGCCGCAACAATTGAAGACCAGGAAACAACGTTTTTGCTTGCGACACTCTCGAAAGCAGTTTGAGCGGCCTCCAAGTTTCCACAGCCTCCATACAGACATATAAGAGAGTTTTTTACGACATCCGAGCAGCATCCAGTGGCAAGACTGCGAGAGTGGACTTCTCGGCCCGTGGTAAAGTCACCAAGATTGGCACAGACAGCAAGAACAGTACCGTAAGTAACGTCGCTTGCTTTTATCCCTTCTTGATTCATTCTGTGGTATATTTGCAGGGCCTCGAGATTGAGATCCTCCTGTGCGTTGGCTACTATCATGGTGTTCCAGGTGATCACGTTGGTAGTGCGGTTTGTTGCCTCGATAAACACTCTCGTCGCGTTTTCGAGGCTTCCACACTTGGCATACATGTTGATGAGCGCGTTGACGACGGACGTGTGGGACAGGTATCCTCTAGCAGCAGCTTCTCTGTGGAGTGACGATCCCCTTTCCATTTTGCAGGTGCTCGAACAAGAGTCCAGGAGAGTGATGAGCGTGACATCGTTCGGCGGCATTTGATTCTCCACCATCTCCAGGTACAATGCAAACGCTTTCTCCTCGCAATGGTTCTGTGCATACGCTCCGATCATTGCATTCCAGCAAACAATGTCTTTGTCCAGTATCCGATCAAACACCTGCCTTGCGTCTTCTACAGCCTCGCATTTTCCATAAAAGCTCACCACTGCAGTTCCCACAAACACATCCGTCTCTACTCCACTTGCAACTATCCTCTCGTGAATTGCCTTTCCTTCTACCAGTGCTCTCAGGCTCGCACAAGCCTCCAGGACGCTAATGAGCGTCACTGCATCGGGCCTGGAAAACTCTTGTTCCATTCTTCTGTATAACTGAAGAGCTTCTAGAGGATACCCTGCGTGGGCATACGCAGAGATAATTATTGTCCATGACACAACATCTCTGAAAACCATTCTCTCGAAAACCAGCCTTGCTTCGTCCAGACTCTCACAAGTCGTATACATGTTTAGAAGTGCATTGCTTGTTATTATGTCACTCTCTAGTCCTTTAGTTCTAATTCTCTCGTGAATTGTTTTCCCCAGACTCAAGTCCCCAGTCACGGAGCAGGCACCGAGAAGGCTGATGAAGGTGATCTTGTTGGCCTCAGTGCCTTCAAGATCCATGGACTTCAGAAGCTCCAGGCCTTCGCTCGCCTCACCATTCTGGACAAGAAGCGAGATGAGTATCGTCCAGGAGAACACGTTCCGCTGGTGGATCCCTTGAAAAGCAGCTCGAGCGTCGTCCAGGCTTCCACACCTTCCATACATTTGCACCAAGAGATTTCCCAGGTACGTATCCCCGTCGAGACCATTAGAGATCATCTGCGAGTGAACCTGTCTGCCATCCGTGAGTGACTTGGAGTTTCCATACTGCTTGAGAAGAGCTTCGTATGTGTCTATCATCTCCTTCCTCCTCCATCTGGAATCTGCCGTGAGAGTTAGAGTTCCCGGAGTTACTGCATTCATTCTTAACTTCTAAGCCCGGCCTGGAGTTTTCTCCCCGCTATTCGTATATTCCGTCGAAGAACATTTCCAGGCCTGGAGTTGGAATGCCCCTTTCTTGATGCATGCACGTTTGTTTTGTGAGCAAGCTTTGTCCAATTGCATTGCCCACTATAAACCAAAAAAGCCTGTCAGCCTGTCGACTCATAATTGTCGTTTTTACCTTTTATTTTTCTCTTTTGTAGGGAGTGAAGCTGAGAAGCCCAAACAGTGAATCACACTCTATCAATCTCAAGGATGAAGTTCGTCGTTGCTCTGTTCGCCGCTCTGCATTTCCTATCTACAGCTCGGGGCCAGAGCTTGCACCATGAGGAGCTCGTTTCTGCGAGAGATCCGTCGACGACCACTCTCAGTCGCTACTGTTCGAGCTTCCAGTTCAATGCCGAGGTGAACAACTTTGTTAATGGCTGGCTTGTCCCTGGGGAGTGCGTGAGTCGCATCAAGAGATACATTGAGAAGGGACAGTATGCTGCTGACGTTGAGGCCGTGATCAACCAAGCTCGAATTTATGTCAAGAATCTCACGGTCACCAACGAGGCTAAGAAGGCTTGGGTGCTAGACATCGACGAGACTTCCCTGTCGAATGTTCCTTACTATCGGACTCACAGCTATGGGTAAGCATTGCAAGAGTTAGTTCCTTGGACTCATTGTTTTCGATGCAGTGCTACGAAATTCAATGCCACGGAATTTAACGCTTGGGTGGATCAAGCTAGCGCTGCAGCGCTCGCTCCGACACTGTCTCTCGTCAAGGAGCTCGTGAGCTTGCGCTGGAATGTCATCTTTATCACTGGAAGGCCCGAGTCTCAGCGTCAAGTCACGGTCAAGAACTTAAAGGCCGCGGGATACAAAGGCTGGACAAAACTCCTCCTCAAGTAAGCAAAGCAAAGAAAAGCAGAGTTTTCCATCTCCATTTCCTGGAGCTGAGCAATTTGTTGTTGCAGGAGTGCTGCTCAAACCAATGCTCGGATGACCGCAATGGCTTACAAGAGCAGCTTGAGGGAGGGACTTGTGAAAGATGGGTATGAGATTTGGGGGAACATTGGTGACCAGTGGAGTGACATTTCTGGATCTGCTGCTGGTAGCAAAGTTTTCAAGCTTCCCAATCCTCTTTACTTCATCCCGTGACCAATAGCAGTAGCAGTGGCGGAGACATCCGTTGACATCAAATTAAAAACTTTAGATCTTGTCTTGATTTATACGGTGCTGATGTGTTTAATACGGTTGACATTATGAAGAAACGTTTATATTTAGTTAAGAAAAGCTGATGAATTGAAGCTTGTCACTCCCTAGCTCGCTGTTGTCACATTTTTAATCTTTGATCTTGCGCCAGGAGCTTGGATCCTACACAGCTCCTCCATGCGGCCAGGGGTTCCTCCTCTCTCACTCTTGCCATTGTTCTAGTTTCCAGTTCATTAGACAACTTTGCCAATGGCTGGCTCGTTCCTCGCGAGTCTGTCGGTCGGATCAAGCGATACGGTACAATGCTGATACCAAGCAAGCTCGAGCCTACACGAGGAGTCTCACTGTTACGAACGAAACTGCGAAGGCGTGGACGTTTGATATTGACGAGACGGCCTTGTCGAATGTTATCGAGCTCAGAGGTAAGAACTTAATTGAAAAAAATTGTTTTTGTTGTCTAGAGCTTGGAAACTATGCTCCAGTGCTGCGAAGTTTAATGTCACTGCGTTCATTGCTTGGATCCAAGAGGGTCGCGCTACAGCAATCTCTCCAACTTTATCCGTCTTCAACTGGAATCTCATCTTTATCACTGAAAGGATTGAATCCCAGCGTGATATCACAGTGAAGAAGAACAGCAAATACAAGAGCTGCCTCGGTGACTCTTGAATCGTGAAGAAAAATAAAAGCTATAAACTCTTTCTTTAATGTTAGAGAAAGTCATATTATTTTCAAGGTGTATAATCCTTTTGTATGAAAGAAGTTCTATTTTTCAACCCCCATGTGCCTCCTGAGAAATACTACTGCAACAAAATCTGTTCCATACTTATGAGGAAATTAAAACGCTAAGGGTTTTACCACATCAAGCATACCATAAGTTTTAAGCGCTTCACAAATTAGACTATAGTATCCACCACCAGGATAGAACCTATCAAAATTAAAAACATAAGCATATAGTATACATTACAAACCTCTTACGATGCTCTTCCCTGGTGACTGCCTCAGTTCCTCTCCTCATTAATTCAAAGAACCATTTAAACTCTTCCAGGTAATCCATAAAACCCCTGATCCCAGAGTGAGGTCCCACATCAGGTGAAAACCGGGTGATCTGAAGAACAAACATCAAAGTCAACAAAGAAACGAACAAGAGACTTTTGCAACAAAACTCAAACCTGTAAAACTCCTTCTGCAAATGGTGCTCGTATGGAACACTTCCACAGAAGATGGATTGACCGTTTGCAACACTCTCCCCTTGATTCCCCCTTTGTAAAGGCGCCTGAAATAAAACATCCTATGCACATCTGAAGGTATACTCTGCTCATCCATATTAAGCTGTCCAGCAAGTTGGGTAGCCTCTCGACTCTCTTGTATCAGTGCCGAATCTGCCACCTGCTATTCAACGAGTGAGAAATTACAAGTGTATGGCTAGAGTGCATGCCTCATAATGCATGTTTGCCCTGTATATTCAAAGTGAAACTCAGAACCAAGGTTACGACGCTATGCTAAAACGTGGTCTCCAATGTCAATGATACCGTCCGAAAGCCAATCCAAAAGCGAGGCCATAAAGCCGGAATACCCACTCTCGAATGTCATTGCTAGGATCCTGAAAATTGTGGAACTTTTCCACAGCTCATTTGACTCCTCTTCAGTGATTGCACCGCAATGAGGGCCTGCATGCCACACATCACCACCTGTATTAAAGAATACCTCAACAGTATCTGATTTGCATCGCACCACGTTATTCTCTTAAACTGTGGTAGTTCTTCTACTCCAAATGCAGACACCAAAATGATAAGAATGTTAGGAACTATGCCTCCTCGACCTTCCTGGAAAGGTTTCAATGCTCTCCACAGGGTCAAATTGTGATTGAATCCAGCTTGGGCTTCGTCAACGAGAAGAAACCTCAGCGGTTCGTCAGGGACAAAGAAATTCCGCAAAACCTCCTCTGCACCTTCAAAGTCAATACAAATCTAAGGACATATGCCACGGTCATCATCATAGATAGATACGAACAGCTCGTTGAAGGTAGAAGCGTTGGTGGTGGCAAGATTGACATAATAAATTTGTTTCCAAATGCCACTAGCTCTTGCCTGCGACTCCGTCAGCTGCAACAATGACGTCTTCCCACTCTGAAGAGGAGCGCGAATCAGTACAGACGCTGCTGACTGAACGAGTTCCAGTAGCTTAGTTATGGTAGAGGTTCTTTGTGCATGCCAGCGGTAGACTCTGTCCTCATTCCGCACCCCGACACTGGCAAAAGTTTGAATAACAGGCTTCTCCACTACAGCAAAACATGAGAGTAACAGAGCGTCAAGTAACACGTACAAGATCACCACGCACAAGATAGAAGACATCCCCCACAAATAACACCAAAAAATGCAACCAGTATCAGGCTATGCCAGCAACCCACTAATGAGCAACCAGAGATCTGTAAGCCAGCAAGCAGCAACAACTGACTAAAGGCGTGTCAGTCAAATGACAAGAGACGCTACAGGATTAGCTAAATCATAGGAAAGAGTAGCTTACTCTGACGCTTCATCCTCCTTACTCCTCTTCTTTCCTATGCAGGCATTCCTTGTCCATTCAGTATTGAAGATGAGAACCTCCTAATGCCAGTCTTTTCTCCACTTCCTCGTCAATCTCCTGTTCTATGGTCTTGACCTGTGCAGAAACTCCTCCTGGATCTATGGGCTCAAAACCACTAAAAGGTTGACGGGTTTATGTAGATGAGAAATGAGCCTTTTGTTCAAGTGTCATCGTTAATCAAAGTTTTATATATTTCAGATTTTTGAAAAAGAAAAAGAGTTTAGCCATTCTGGATGATCCTGGATGCAGCACGCAAGCTCTCCAGAGCAACCGCATCAGCCTCATAAGGCATGCAGTCTTTCAGCTCCACCGCATCGGCCACTCGCCCAGCTCTTCCCAAAACGTCGATCAAACACACGTAGTGCTCTCTCGCCGGCACCATCCCAAAATCGCACACCATGGAGCTCAAGCACTCGCAGGCTGCTGCTAGCTGACCGCTCTGGCTGCACGAGTAAAGAATGGTGATGAAAGTTATGTCGTCTGGAACAAATCCTTCTACCTGCATTTGCCGAGAGAGGAAGATGGCATCCCGGAAGAGCCCCTGCTTCGCGTAAGCCGAGACGATGGCGTTCCAGGACACGGCATCCTTGCAGGGAATCGATGAAAACACCCGGCTTGCATCGGCCACCCGGCTACACTTCGCGTAGAGGCTGGCCGCCGCGTTTAAGACCGTCGTGTTTTGAGTGTAGGGACCGGCGAGGACGAGAGCATGGATCCGCCTGCCTTGCTCGTGTGCTCCCACGGTCGCGCAGGCACGCAGGACGCTTGTGAGAGTGGTGGCGTTCGGCTTTACACCTTCCAAATTCATGAGCTCGAAGGTCTTGATGGCTTCCCAGTGCTGACCATATGCCGCGATGAAGGCGCTCCAGGAGATCACGCTGGGCCTCGAGATCCTGAGGAAAACTTCCCTGGCCTCATCCGGGTGTCCTGCTTTGCCATAAGCGGTCATGACGGCATTGGCTGCGACCATTCTCTGCTCTAACCCGGAGGCGAGGATCCGCGAATGCACGTCCCTGACTTGAGTGGCACTGTCGCAAAAGCCGAGGACGCTGGCGAAGACGTTCTCGTCGGCTTCCATGCCTTCGAGGTCCAAGTGGTGATAGAGCTCGGTAGCTTCTCGCTTCAAGCCGTGCTGTACGTATGCTGCAATCACGGAAGCCCAGGAAGAGGTCTTCATATCCTGCCGCTGGTCATTGAAAACTTTCACGGCATCCTCAAGGCCACCGGACTTGCTGTACATGTTGACGAGAGCGTTGTTGACTGCAGAGTCGGATTCCATTCCACCGAGACGAACGTAACCATGGATTGAGGCTCCGACTGCGAGAGCTTCACGGCCACGGCATCCGTCCAAAAGTCCCGCGAAAGTGACAGACTGAGGTCGCACGCCTTCTAGCATCATCTCTCGACAGAGATAGATCCCCCCTGCGAGGTCTTCACACTGAGCATGCCCGGCAACCATGGCAGTCCAAGTGATCACGTTTCGTCTGTAGCGCATGCGGTCAAACACGTCCCGTGCATCGCCAAGACTGCTGCATTTTCCATACATGCTAATCAGTGAGTTTTCCATTCGAAGAGAGAAATCCAAACCAGAGCCGAGTGCAAGCCTGTGAACGTGCTTACCAGTTTCAAGAACTTCCAGGCTTGAACAGGTGTCTAGAACCGTGAGAAAGGTGATCTCGTTCGATCTCAGGCCTTCCTGGTGCATTTTACTCCACGTCGCGAACGCACACTCGAGCTTTCCATGCCGTGTATACGCGGCAATGACCGTCGTCCAGGTACAAACGTCGGGCCGAAAGCTCCACTCGAAGACTGCTGTTGCATCGTCGAGACTGCCACAGTCGCTGTACATGCTGATAAGACCATTGCAAACAATCTGGTCAGAGACAAAACTGGTACCAAGAAAATGTTCGTGCAGCATTCTACCAAACTTTAGATCCCCTGATGCAAAGCAAGCATTTAAGAGGCTGGCAAACGTCACCTCATCGGGTTTCGTCCCTTCTAGACGTGAGTATGCGTAGAGCTGAATTGCTTGCTTACCACACTCATGCTGTGCGTAGACAGTGATCATCGCGTTCCAAGAGATTAGATCCCGCTCAGGCATTCGATCAAACGCGTTCCTTGCCTCCTCGACGCTCCCACACTTCCCATACATATAAACCAAGGAGTTACTCAGCAAAACGCTGGCGCCAAGACCACTGGAAAGAATTCGAGCATGGATTTGCTTACCTTGGAGAGAATCTCCCAACGCAGCGCAAGCGCTCACGGCGTTGAGAAGCGTGATCTCATCGCCCGGCACACCTTCCAGATCCATTGCTCGAAACACCCACAGCGCCTCTTTCCAGAGATCCCACTGCATGTAAACAGACATTAGAATGGTCCAAGAGAAACGATTCTTCTCACGTATCGCGTCAAAGGCAGCCAGTGCCCTCTCCACACACCCGGATCTTCCATACGCCTGGACGAGCAAATTCCCGAGGAGAGTTTCCCTGTCATGGCCAGTCGAAGCCATTAATCCATGAATGCGAGCGACAGTCGCGGAAGATCCGGCAAATGCTGGCTTTCGAGCACACTGCCAAAGAATCGTTTCGTACCTTGCTGCTGGTGGATCCCCATTCATCCCAAGAACACGATATTTCGCTCCTGGAAGGGAGATTTCACCGCATCGATCTGTAACCCTCGAATCTATGCCGCAGAAGCCTGCCTGATCGATCCAATCTCGCTATAGTCGCGAATGCGGGCAGAAGCCCTAGCCTAATCGCCAGAAAAACCGCTAGAAAATTCCAGCCGCTAGGAAGCGATGAATGCGCCAAGCCCCTTGCCAAGAACCCTAGAATGGAAGAATGTAGTGTGTGAGTATATTTTAGTGTGAGATGGAGATCATACAAGGATCAATGCTGCTTGGCGCTGTGGCCCTGTGATTTGCTCCTCGTGTTCTTCGCCCGAGCTTCTGGATTGATCACCACTCCCAGCGAGTAGCTGGGCATGCAAGAAGAGCTCATCACGAGCTTCTCCTCGGTGAATTTCACCCTGCTCCTGCCACTCCTGAGCCCTGGATCGCGATTCCTGACGCTCGCCCCTTCCACATTCGCTCCATCATCGCGGAAATCTGGCGATGATTCCTCTCGCGGCATGGATGTCTCGCCCTGATCGAAGCTAACCCTTCTCTCGCTGCCAAGCATGGAATTGGAGCTCCTCCACTGGTGATCCGGCTGGCACGACGCCCCGAAAGACTGCTGCGCGAGAGATCGGAGCGTAGATGTGGCCTCCTCCTCCTCCGGATCGCTGCCGTGCTGCTGCCGCGCGCTCTCGAAATCCGCGAAGGCGGGATTGACCGTGGCGAAGGAGTATTTCTTGAGGAAGGACATGGACATCGCCGAGGGATTGGCAGCGGTGGAATTGGAGCCCGATTTGCTGCTGGATTTCCTGGCGCTCCCACCGCTGCCACTGTCGCTCCTCCTCGCCTCGCCCGCCGCCCATTGCTCGGGCGTGCTGCTGTGAGAGATCGAATTCCTGGGAGGAGGCCGCGACATGCAAGCTCCCATCGAAATCTCGCCCAGATTTCGCGACCGCGGAGCCGGATCGAGCGAGCTAGGTGTGGATCGATCGTCGGTCGATCGACCGCGCACCGACGATCCTTTTCTTTCCTACAGTGCTATAATATTCGCTTTTCCCACACGCGCACGCACTCCGCTCTCCTAGCTAACATTCCTCTCGAGCATGGGATTGGTTTAGCGTTAAAACGAGGATTTCCTTAATTAAGATTTATTTATCCGCAGCCGTTGGATGTATCCAACGGCCCACAAAAACCCCTTAAACGTAATCCGGGGAGAGACACAAACCCTTTTGCTGTGACTGACTGATTAGCTAGGGCGAAGCGAGGCGAGCGTTGCGCGCGAGGCGCTCTAGCATTCGATCGATCGAGCGGGAGCGCATCGCTCTCTGGGATGACACAGGTACGCTGCGCGATCGCGCCTTAGGGTTGTGGAATTGATTCTATCGCCTCGTCTGCCTTGTTCCAGTCGGATAATCGAGCTGCGTCTGGAACGAAGCGAGCGCGCTCGGAAGGTAAGGCCGGCGCGTTGGCATTCTTCCGAGAAATCTTCTTTTCTCACTGGAAATTCTCTTGTCTAGGACCTCGCGGCGATGGCGATTGGACGTGCCCCTTGTGTGGCAATGTCAATTTCGCGTTTAGAGCTACTTGCAACATGAGAAAATGTGGAGCGAGCAAGCCAGCTGATATCACTCGGGTGGGAGGAGGGCCGATTGGACCGCTACCGTATGACCAATCGCCGGCGCTCTTCATGGCCGGGCCTGGAGTTCCTCCTCCAATTCAAGTGGGGATCAATGGAGGATACACGCAGGTGCCGATGCCTCCTCCCGTATCAACGATTCCATACGACTATGGTGGTGGAATGAATCTACAAACGACTTATAACCCGATTCCACTACCCGGTGCTTATAATCCCGCGCTAGGTGAGAACAATCGTTGGTTTTGGTGATTCTTAGCTCTCCTTTTTTTTACAGTTCATGCGGTACATCATCATGAAGGTGTGCACTTAGGATCTGGCTTTGGAGCTCCGGTCGTGGACGGCTATGGAATGGGCATGACTATGGTTCCTCCACCTGTAAGTGTTTCGCGTCTTTTGGAGATTCCGGAGGAAGTAAAGCTTTTCGTCTTTAGTTTTCGGTGATGCAGATTCCAGGGCCTCGGCCGGGTGTACAAATCGAAGAGAATGGCTCACGGAAGCGTAGAGGCGGTACGCAGAAAGCCTGTCCTTCGTACAACCTCTCAATCTTTTTTTTTGTTTGTTGCAGGGCCGGAAGGCTCGGAGGGCGATTGGATATGTCCGAAGTGTGGCAACTCAAACTTCGCATTCAGGACCTTCTGCAACATGCGCAAATGCGGCACTCCCAAACCCGCGGAACCGGTTTGTCATTCATTCGTTTCTTCTGCTGGTTGTCACCACAGCCTAGTGTCTCTTTCGTTTTCTCGTCTGTGTGGCTCAGGTCCCTCGCATTGCACCTCAAAAGGCTAACTCACGTAAGCTCTCTCTTTCGATATCTCTCGCGTGGATTGGATGGATACCAACACAAAAACTGGTTTGTTTCGTGTTGCAGAAGGTCCAACCCCGGAAGGAAGTTGGACGTGCGATGCTTGTGGTAATGTAAATTATCCCTTCCGAACGAAATGTAATCGCAGGAACTGTGGCGTTGACAAACCCGCTGATGCAAAGCTTACAACGAAAACGTCTCCTCCTCCATCGGACTAAGGTATGGCCTTTCCTCCCGCCCTCTTCTCAGTTTTTCTCCATTCTCTTTCCTCTTTTCCCTTCTTGAGCTCTTGACACCGTCACAGCTCTTGCGAGCTGGTATGCCGACCATCAGAGACAGTGCTGACTTGGTTCGTTTACCGCTTGGGGCTTCCCGTGTTGTGCTGCGAGCAATTCCATTCGATCTGATTGATGGGTTTTTCGTGTCTCTGCCCCTGTTTCAGTACTGTCGTCGAGCTTGTGGAGGTCCGAAAAAAAAAAAAACCAAAAGATGAAAAAGAAAAACACTGTCAACGTTTTTCCGCCTGGTCCGTCGTTGGTGTCTCTTCTCAAGTCTCAGTTTTCTGATCAGGCCTCTCGTCTCCGTCGTCGTCATGGTCGCGTATATATACATTATGTACAGACGGCGAATGTACGTTTTTTTCTTGGTATACATATGGTCGAGAGGGTGAGGAGAGATTTTTTTTGGGGCCTTTTACAATCGCCTTTTACAATCGCCCTTTTTGGGGCGATTGTAAGATTATAGTTTAAGAGATTGGTATATTCTTTCAATAGGGTTTAAGCTATTGTTCGCGCATAGTGCTTCTTCGAAATGGTTTCCGCCGTCCGGCTCGCTGGTGCTGTTGCGACGGGAGTTGTGATAGGTGGAGTGGCGGCTATCTATGGCGGGGCTGTGAAAGCCGCAGTGGATTCCATCAGCACCGGGATCAAGGAAGCAGCTGAGGCGGGGGGCGGAGCTCTAGGGAAATCCCTGGAGCTGAAAGAGGCCCTGGCAGAAGGAGGAAAGGCGCTGGAGCTGAAAGACGCCCTAGCAGCAGGAGGAAAGTCGCTGGATTTTGGTGGATCTCTTGGGACGGGGCTGTGTGCCCATGGCCTCAATAGCGTTGGCCAGGGGATCAGCTCGGGCCTCAATGGCCTTGGCAAGGGGGTCGGCTCTGGCCTTAATGGCATTGCCATGGGGATCGGCTCGGGCCTCGGCTCGATTGGCGTGGGGATCGGGATTGCTGGCATCGTCATTGGGCGCGGGATCTGCAAGCTTGCGGCTTCACAGAAGACCCTCGTCGAGAAGCTCGTCTCTGCAGTGGTCGTGCGCTCGGAGCCGGACAGGTCAGGCTCCGGAAAGCTCTCCAAGACGCAGCTCAGCTCCTCCGGCAACCCTGGAGAGGCACAGCTCGGCCTCTCCAACCCTGGCGAGGCGCACGCTCAGCTCTCCGACCCTGGCAAGGCGCACGCTCAGCTCTCCGACCCTGGCAGCGAGATGTGATGGTAAAACTGTGTTCTTCCTCCTTTGTTTCTTTTCTTGACGCTTTTTTCTTGCAAGGTGGATCAAAGAAAGGCGGACTCTCTCTCGATCGGTTCTCTCTCTCTCTCTCTCTCTCGCTCAGGTCTTCCTTTTTTGTGGAATTCTCAAGAATTCGTCTTTTTGTGTAGACTGAGCTGCTAGCAAGTTTTCTCTGTGTCTTTGCTGGAACAGCAGGCACACTTTCGGATCGTCACAGAATCGTCGTTGTTATAGAGTCTAGGATGTAAAAATGTTAAATATATACCAGAATGTAACGAATCTTGTCTATGATATAGCTTCTGTTCCTTTTTCCTCTTGGGCTTAACTCGGTCGACCAGAAAGTCCACAAGCAATACAACATTCACCATGCGTAAAGTCGATCCAAAGTTCCAGCGTGACTCCAGAGCACGCCACCAGCCTCAAAAAACGGTGGCCAGGGAAGATTAAGATTGATCCGGAGATCTTGCAACCCGTGGATGGATTTCCAGCGCTTCCACGGACATTTTCTATCACGTATGATTTTCTTGCGACTGTTAGCATCGATTTTCTTATACTTTTGGAACTATGGACAGGATCATGGAGTTAACTTTGGAGGAACAGTTGGGAAGGTAACTTAACTTGGATGAGTTCTTGTTTCTCAGACTGAAGCAAGATATGGCTGGAGTGATTGATGTTTGCTGGATCCAGGGAGGACCATGCCACAGTCCAGCTTGAGCTCCAAAGCGATGGTACACTGAGGAGTGTTATGAACCACATTCAAGAACAACTCCTAGAAATGGAGGTAAGCAACAAGCCTTGTGTTTTCGTGCGCTGCATGACGAAACTTTTTCATATCAAGGAAGATCAGCGTCTGTGAGAGATCGATCAAAATCCCACAAACAAAACGACAAAGCTTCATGCATATAGTCGACTGGAAATGACTCCAGGCCGGGCTTAGAAGTTAAGAATGAATGCAGTAACTCCGGGAACTCTAACTCTCACGGCAGATTCCAGATGGAGGAGGAAGGAGATGATAGACACATACGAAGCTCTTCTCAAGCAGTATGGAAACTCCAAGTCACTCAGACGGGTTCACTCACAGATGATCTCTAATGGTCTCGACGGGGATACGTACCTGGGAAATCTCTTGGTGCAAATGTATGGAAGGTGTGGAAGCCTGGACGACGCTCGAGCTGCTTACCGAGGGATCCACCAGCGGAACGTGTTCTCCTGGACGATACTCATCTCGCTTCTTGTCCAGAATGGTCGATGCAGTGACGCTGATTAGCGTCCTGGAGGCTTGTGCGAGCCTGAGAGCATTGGTAGAAGGAAAGACAATTCACGAGAGGATAGTTGCAAGTGGAGTAGAGACGGATGTGTTTGTGGGAACTGCAGTGAGCTTCTACGGAAAATGCGAGGCTGTAGAAGACGCAAGACAGGTGTTTGATCGGGTAATGGACAAAGACATTGTTTGCTGGAATGCAATGACCGGAGCGTATGCACAGCACCATTGCGAGGAGAAAGCGTTTGCATTGTACCTGGAGATGGTGGAGAATAAATTGCCGCTCATCACGCTCCTGGACTCTTGTTCGAGCACCTGCAAAATGGAAAGGGGATCGTCACTCCACAGAGAAGCTGCTGCTAGAGGATACCTGTCCCACACGTCCGTCGTCAACGCGCTCATCAACATGTATGCCAAGTGTGGAAGCCTCGAAAACGCGACGAGAGTGTTTATCGAGGCAACAAACCGCACTACCAACGCGATCACCTGGAACACCATGATAGTAGCCAACGCACAGGAGGATCTAAATCTCGAGGCCCTGCAAATATACCACAGAATGAATCAAGAAGGGATAAAAGCAAGCGACGTTACTTACGGTACTGTTCTTGCTGTCTGTGCCAATCTTGGTGAATTTACCACGGGCCGAGAAGTCCACTCTCGCAGTCTTGCCACTAGATGCTGCTCGGACGTCGTAAAAAACTCTCTTATGTGTCTGTGTGGAAACTTGGAGGCCGCTCAAACTGCTTTCGAGAGTGTCGCAAGTAAAAACGTCGTTTCCTGGTCTTCAATCGTTGCGGCTTATGCACGGAACGGCGAAGAAGACAGAGCTCGCAACCTGTTCTGGACGATGAATCAGGACGGAGTGCTGCGGAATATTGTTACGTTCACTTCTGTTCTTCATGCCTGCTCTCATGCCGGACTGGCCGACGAAGGATGGAGCTACTTTCTCTCCATGCAGGGAGACCACCATCTAGAGCCAACTCCCGAGCACTACGGATGCATGGCCAACTTGCTCGCCAAGTCCGGCTGGGTGAAGCACGCTGCAAGCTTCATGTCCGCCATGCCGGTTCAACCTGATGCTTCAGCCTGGAGGAGCCTACTTGGTGCTTGTGAGGTCCACACTGACAACGAATATGGTGCTCTAGAAGCAAAGCAGCTGTTGGATGCAGAACCCCGAAATTCTGCGGCCTATCTACTGCTATATGAAACTGAATTAGCACCGGAAAGTATGTTACATACTACTACAAGTTAGAAGTTATCCGTCTCGATATCAGCATCCATGTTGAACGACATGCCAT